ACATGTCACCCCTTGTGTTCCCCCCTTAGGGGACCCCGGGGACCCCGAGCCCCCCGAGGAGGACGCAGAGGCAGCGCAGGCGGAGGCAGCAGACGGAGACATGGATGGGGAGACCGAGGGTGACACAGTGGTGCTGGCAGGGCAGCCCGAGGGGCTCAGCACCCAGGAGATGCAGGTCAGGACCCCCTCTTCCCCCCCCCAATTCTCATTTACCCCCCTCCTTTCTTCCCCATCCCCAAATCTCCTATTTTTACCCCCCAACAAAGGTGGAGAACGAACTGGAGGACCTCATCGATGAGCTCCTGGAGCGGGACGGGGCCACCGGCAACAGCACCATCATTGGTGGGAGCCCCCTCCTCACCTCACCCCGTAAGATTTTTGGGGTTCCCCCCCCAGTTTCTCACATTTCCCCCCCCCTTACAGTGAGCCGCTCGGGTGAGGATGAGTCGCAGGAGGACGTGCTGATGGACGAGGCGCCCTCCAACCTCAGCCAGGCCTCCACCCTACAAGCCAACCGGGAAGGTGAGCGGGTTTGGGGCACCCTATGGGATCCGGGGGGCACCCCGTGGTGATTTGGAGGACACCCTATGGGATTCAGGGCACCCAGTGGGGTTTTTGGGGCACCCCATAGTTTTTCTGAGGGACACGCTTGGGATTCAGAGAACCCCAAAGGTGTTTGGGGTTCCCCATGGGTTTTTGGGGATGCTCCATGGGATTCTGGGGGACACCCCATGGGATTGGAGGTACCCCATGGATTTTTGGGGACACCCCATGGGATTTTGGGGCTATCTATGGCCTTTTTGGGATGCCCCATGCATTTTTGGATACACCTCATAGGATTTGGGGAACACTCCATTGGATTTCGGGACACCCCGTGGTGTTTTGGGGACACCCCATGGGAATTTAGGACACTCCATCCATTTAGGGGGACGCCCCATTGGATTTTGGGGGCACCCCATGGATTTTTGGGGACGCCCCATGGCATTTTGTCCCCTTCGTGCCCCCAAAGACTCGATGAACATCCTGGACCCCGAGGATGAGGAGGAGCACACGCAGGAGGAGGACAGCAGTGGCAGCAATGAGGATGAAGATGACAGCCAGGACGAGGAGGAGGAGGAGGAGGAGGAAGATGAGGACGATCAGGTTTGGGGGGGGGGTTCCAGCCCTACACTCCCCCGCTTTCCTCCCCTCCCCCAATCCCCCCTTTTTCCTCCCAGACTCCCTTCCCTTTTCCAGATCCCCCTTTGCCCCATAATCCCTTTTTTTCCTCCAAAATCCTCTTTCTTCCCCCAACCTCCCCTTTTTCCCCCTCACACCCCCTTTTCCCCTCCCCCAAGCTCCCCCCTTGCCTCCCAAATCTCCTCTTCCTCCCAG